TTCTACCCATTAAACTCAGTAATGCTTTTGGAAGACTCAAATCACATTCTTGTTCGTTGCGATGATCAAGTACTAATATTGTATTAACTCTCCAATAGTTGCAACATTCGAAAATATTGGCGCCATTTATCAAGTTCTGAGCGAAACCATAAAAGACGAGTTGAAATTGTACTTTCAGAACTATTTATTATATCCCTTCACATCCTACAAGAGTCAGGGTGGAGTACAGCAATCATAAAATGGTAAAAACTCTTGATAAACACTAGACATTGAAACAAGCAAAAGAATGGTTAAGTCGACAGTCCGTACAGTAAAAGTTTAAGCAAACGGTATAATTGCGAAAGGAAAATACGAACAGTAGCGATCCGATTTCAAGGATTCAAGTCTAAACGAAAATAATAACCATATTCATATGTAGCGATATCTTGTGCAAATATATCTAAATCACTCCGCTCAAAAGAAAAAAGTTTAACTCTTGTATCTGCTCTTGAAAGTATTTTGAAATAAGGTGCACATTTGTATAGGCTTTAGACAGATTCGAGAACAAAATTTATCGATAGGTCCAAAAACTTGTGAAAAAAAAGGACATTTACGTTTTCACTCTACAAAATGAAACTAAAACTGTTATGGGATGATTTAACTTTGCGTATTGTTATCTAACCAAACTTGTTCAGGCTTATATTGTGGGATTCTCTCTGCACATGTGATACATAGCGTCATTCAATTATTCAATACCGCCACCTATAGATTTATAGTTGGAGGAATATAGAAAGTTACTCCGAAGAGAAGCATTTATACAAAACAAATCTGGTTAAACGTTGTGGAACTTAAAAATAAAACTTGTGGGATGTGCAGGATTATAAAAACTAGTTTCGAAGGCTCGATCTTCGATTATTTTCTGTAGTTTTACTCAGATTTCAACAGATGGCAGCACTTTCTTAAAGTCTTACAACTATTGGACATTCGGATACAATATTTGTTACTCGAACCGCAACGTAACAGGAAAGGAGTAGTTGGATTTTGAACGAGACTAGTTTCGTATAGAAGTTAAAACTTTTAAGCCTAACAGAACAAAAAAGGGAGAGTACTTCAGCTACTATCGACGTTTTTTAAAAGTATTTTATATCTCGAATTAGACATTCATATATATATATTCGATGACGAGGAACCCATTTTGAGACTAGTAATGTATCAGTACCTGATGATGACAAAACCTTATCGAAACGTTGTACATTTGCTGTTATGTTAAACTTATATGAACGTTTTTCTTCATTACCCATTCAAGCCGTCTCCAACCATTATTCGCCCCCCCAGTGGCACAGCGGAATGTCTGCGGACTTACAACGCTAGAAACCGGGTTTCGATACCCGTGGTGGGCAGAGCACAGATAGCCCTTGTGTAGCTTTGTGCATAATTAAAAACAAAACCAACCATTATACATATATATATATCTATGTGTGTGTGTGTATATACGACAGCCAAATGTCTGTTTGTCACGCTCTGTATTTCCCAAACGGATAATCGTACAAGAACATTTATATATCAAAATGCTTCTTTTCAAAAGTGTGTTAGAGGAAAGTTATTAATTTTTTGCAATTCCTAAAATTTCTCATCGATCTAAGAATTTACGAACAAAAATAATTCTTTTAATGAAGGAATTCTGCAGAAAATGAAACTTCCTCTGTCGTCTTATTGAACGGAAAAACGTATATTTACCGTTGAATTGTTTCAACGGCTCCTGTTAATTCACTATAAATGAAAAACAGATCACATCGATTCACCATCCGTATGTTTATAAAGCTTATATAGCAGCAATACTGATGTATAATTGTAAAGTGACCTGATATCTGCCCGAAGGAAACAGCCTGAAGTTTCGGCAATATAATTGTAAAAGACAGTGAAAACGAAGGGATCGTATATCAACTCACAGAGAATAAAGTTATCCAGACTGTCTGATAGGTATACATACAGATATTATTTAGCCGCGGCATAGCGGTTCATAGAATGGCTCTGAGTTTTTCAAGTAGAAACTTTTAGCTCATAACTCCATCTCTTGACCGATTCGAAACTAATTACAGCCGCAGCTATTGAAGATTTTTTTTCTTGCAAAACGTAGTTTTACCCATTGAAGTTATTTTGATTTTTTTCTTCGTAAGTTTGTTTTTGAATTTCGCATAAAGCTACACGAGGGCTGTCTGCGCTAGCCGCCCCTAATTTAGCAGTGAATGACTATGACCCGAGCGCTTTCGAAAGGTGGACCTTCTTCTTCAGGGGCAAACACCTTTCGAAAGTACTCGAGTTATAGGGTTTTTATCATTTTATATTCCTTATAATTGTGCAAGCCAAAATTGGCCCACATCAGTCGTCTACTTGTGTTGTGGAAAATGTTATACTTTGTTCAGATGTCTCGGTAACTTGCCTTTGGTTTAGAGATAGTTCTATGTTCTACTACTGGCTGTTTGAAACACTTGTAGCTAATCTGCAAACGTCTGCTGTGATTCGACGACTCTCCAGGTGAATAAAATATTCTAGCCAAGGTTAACATATAATTGGGAGTACTTCAAACTCTGTGATTCACTCTGATGCAACAAATGAGACATGATTATAAGATCATTATATATAGCATAGGCTGATTAACAAAGAATTTGTGTTTCAGATAACACAACTGTTCATCAGATGCTTGACTATGATCAGAATGAGCTGAGAGTGACGATTAACATTATTTTATAACAGTGGTTTTGCCTTATTATAACTATAATACTAAAAATTCCAATTTTCTTTTAATTGTTTTATGGAGTGTACTAATCTAAAGAATCTTCTTAACTTACTTCCTTTTTCGTGAAATACAATACGAATGGTGGCTTTAATTAACTTGTTGAGACAGTGTAGTCGTAAAACCAAACATCTGGTGCAGTATAACACATGATTGATAAACCTAGCTAGGATTTCATCTAGTTTTGTGTGATGGGATAAACACATAAAAAACAGTTTTAAATTGTTTAGTTTACTTAATATGTGAAATCACATTAAAACAGCCTTGGACGAAACTGTTTCAATAGGCATCCATCTACTTAATAGGGTACATACCGACATATAATTTGAGTCAAAGTAGTATATTGTTTGTTTATATAAATTTTTAATAATTTAATATTTTTTATATATTTTTTATTCATCATTACTAAACAATGGTATATTCAATAATGCTCAATCTTCTAGCTTCTGTTATCACCATGCGCTATTCTTTCATCGTAAATTCCATTTAGATACCTAACTTATACTTTATCAGTTCATTTGTAGCTTGTGCAGAGCTAATACCTGAATAATGTTCATGGCTAAGAAATATGTACGTTGTTATTAAAAAATTTAATAAATGGAAAATGTTTTATACTTTGAGAGTGTAGATCATAAATACTTTATTACATGGCAAATTGTACTCCCAGAACTTCGGTGAATTGAACCCCAGATTCCAGCGTTGTAACTCTGGAAACTTATTGCCCTCCCATACAAGGCCTTTCAGTAAAACACTTCTTTCACAATTCACCCCCAGTGACTCAGCACTAAGTCCGAAGGCTTATAACACTGAAACTGTGGTGGACCATAGCCCATTGTGTAGCTTTGTGCTTAATACAAACCCAAATGTTCACAATTCTTGATCTTGTTGACATAACTTTAATACAGCTATTGACAAATTCAATGATTTAATTTCCTTATGTCGTATTACGAAACTGGGAAAAAGATGACAAAATTACTTGTTTGGAAAGACAATACTTGTTTTTTTAGTACAAAGCCATACTTGCGATTATCCACACTCTGTCAACCGCGAGGAAGCAAACCCTGGATTTTTAGCATTGTAAGCCGTTAAACTTACCCCCTAATCCATTGAGAGATCAGACAAATAACAGTTTCTGAAAACTCATCTTGACGCATCATAGTGAAAAACGAGTCTACTTATCCCCAAAGTCTAATTCGTTCTTTGTTGTTGTTATTTTTGGCGAACAAAAATCATAGATTAAAATTCAATCTATAGCATGAATCCTAATGAAAAATAATAAGTATCTCTGTTTTATTTTATAGAAAACAGATTATAATACTTTTTTTTATAATTATGTCAAGACACGGCGGTATTAGGCAGAGAGGTCGTTATGTATTTAAAAGATTCAGGGCTTGGGCCATAAGCGCTGAAATGTTTGGAGTTTTAGTATGGTATTTATCATGGTTTATTTCTGATTTTTCAAGACATCAACTGAGGTTCGAACCACTGTCAAATAGAATCGGGGTACGGGTCCCGTGTGTCAATGCTTGGACGCCTCTGGCACCAGGGGTTTGGTACTAACGTCTCAAAAGCACAGGAATAAGTTAGATAAAGACTAGAACAACAAATAGAGTTATATTTTGAACACTAGAACGTGCACTCTTGTCTCAGCGAAAAAAAAAAAAAAGATAGAGGCTGTGCTAACCTGAGGAATCCAAGATGGCGTCCAAAACGAAACGTGAAGCGTAAACAAATACACGTAAAGCAACAGCATGGTAAATCTGCCATAAGCCTCTCCGTAAATTTTATGGTATACCTGTAGTGCGTTATTATTTCATTCAAAAGTCGACTAAAATTGAATATATCAACAATGTAGAAAAATAGTATCAATCTTACATTTATAGGTTACTTGAATTGTCGGATAATTAGCAAAACATTACTCATTTTTCAAGGATTGTTTGCTTAATACTAAATTTACATGAGTATAGTTTACTAAAGTGTTCAGGATACGCAATTGACAACATTTTGTTGATGCAATTCGGTAAATTATATACACCTATTTAAGATGTATACGCAATGCACACATCTAAATCAAATGCAAGCACCAGCTAAGAAAACAAGTCCCCTTTCCTATTAATACAGTTATAAACGTCTTCACAATTGAATTATTCGATTAAAAACAATGTTTTAAAAACTCCAGATGATTGCTGCACGCGTTTACACGACGTTCAAACCTGATGATGACAAAACCTTGTCGAAACATTGTACATTTGCTGTTATGTTAAACTTATATTAAAGTTTTTCTTCATTACCCATTCAAGCCGGCTCCAGCCATTATATCGGTAACTGTTAAGATATTAGCCACTTAAACTTATTTTATTGAGTGATCTAAGAAAACAGCTTCTTCGTTGTTAGTAAATTCAGTTCTTCTTTAAAAGTAACAGTAACATCTCCACGTATCTTAGGCCTATGGGAAAGGCCTATATCAGTTGATATCCTACCTCTAGTAAATATGATTTACAAAATATGAAATGACACTTGCTCATTTTGGTAATATTATTGGATTCCCCCTGTCTTCATATGGTCACGTGATAATTGCGCGCTCTAGTGTTAAAGATACGAATTTGTGGAACAACATGTTTGATAACCGGTGCTACTTAATGACTAATAGGAACAATTTTTACGTAGGTGTTTTAAACCATTATGATGACAGTCTGTAAACGTGCATGCAGTATGTAAGTCCAAATTTCAACAACTTAGTGTTTTAGAAATTTCAAAGATAGGTCTGAAGCACAATCTATAAGTATAAGTTGCATTCACGAACCACCTGCAACAGTGCAACTTTAAATTTAATATAGGACGTTAGGTAAGCCTAACTTACTTTACGTCAAATGCATCTGTTGAGAACTGAAAGGGAAAGAGAAACGAAGTTATTAACTAGTAAACTACATTCGTTTAAGCTTAAAGAACTATAGAAATTTAAAAACGCTTAGGATAGCCAATGGAGATAAAAAATGGTTCAGCATTAAAGAAAACAGCAAGGAAGACATGGCAAGTACATGCACCACAGAATGTAAATTGGAATTCTGTCCATCTCTTACGTTACCATCTTGCAGAAGAAGGCTGTAAAGAAAGTCAAGTATCTGTAGCAAAGAACTTATTAAGTGACTCTGCCAGAGGAAACGATTGTGAAAGTGCTGAGATTGCTGTCTATTGGCTTCTTCGGGCAGCAGTTGAAGAGCATGAAGAGGCACGAGAGTTATTGGATGAATGTTATAAAAGTGGGATAGGAATTACAGAGAAAAATCGAGAAAAAGTAGAGAATTGTTTAGGAAGGTCACAAAATGAAAAAGCAGCAAATAAAATTGGTAGCAAACTGTTCAGCTCAGTGGCAGGATACTTGTGTTCAGAAGCCATCTCCTTAAGATACTTCAAAATGAGAGTGGATAGGTTGAAAATTGAAGGATGTTGTGATGTTCAAGAGCATTTGAATGAACAGTTCCCAGAGGAATTTCCCGAATTTGCTAAAGGAACGAATGCCATTGACGAGGCAAAATATGTTACTAAAAAGAATGTGATTGAGTGTACTCTGAAATGCTTGCGATCAGAAAATCCAACTATAGATCTTCACAATGCAATGGATTCTTTAGCACCATCTCATTTTATATTCAAAGTAATAAATGTACTGAAGAACATATTGAAAATTGCTTTTGAAAATATCAAGAAAGAAACTAAGACCTACTTATTTCCTGCCACATTTTTACTCTCCCTCAGCTTCCTCTTTATTTTAAATGAACTTGTTGGAGTATATCATATCAACTCAACAAAACAAGTTGGGGATGTATTCTTTGCATTAGGTGTCTTGGCTTGTTTAGGAATGATTTCAGCAACTTCTATCATTTTAAAGTTAAACAGTGGCTTTTATAATTTAAATGAATGGCTTCAAACACTGTTGATAATAGAACCACAGTTGCCAGCAAATGATATTGTAACTAAGTATGAACGAAAGAAAATTTTGCCATTTGTATGTTTTGTGTTTTGCCTTATGGTATTCATTACTTTAATTCCTTACAGCATGAATGTATTTGTTACCACAAATGTACTGTTTTTGTGTGCTGGAGTTCTCTGCACTACTATGGTGATGTGTAATGAGCAATCAGAACTTGGGTATACTTCGTCATCTTATATCAAGATATCATATGTAATTCATGCCATTTTTTCTCTCTGTAATTTAGGCTATTGGAAAAGATTAACTATGGGTTGGTGTGATTATTTTGAACTTGTGCCATATATGGAACTGGGTTTACATTTAAAAATTTATTTGAACTTTTTCAGACTTTTAAGTGGTATTTTTCTGATAATTTTGTATATTTCCTTGGGAAAAAGTAGAAATTGTAAGGGTTTTTTACAGATATTGGTACCGCATTTAATTACAGTTGCATGGTTTTCTGTCACAAAACTTGTTATACTTGAGAATGAGTTAGAGCTTCATCATGGTACATTAGGGTTCCTGTCTTGCTTTGTTATTTTAATGCTTACCACAATAACTGGAATTTTTTGGAAATTAATAACAGCTGGTATTGTCATTTGTGCTCTTTTTATGACCAGTTTTTCATTTTATACTAGTACTTTCCTTATTCTAGCTGCCTTGTACAAACCAAGTAAATTTGTTTTCATGGTTTTGAATAAGAGTTCTAAGTACAGAGAGAAGTATGGCTTCTTAATTTTTTTTATTCTTACAGCAGTTAGTACCTTGATAACACACAATCACATTTTACCAACTTCGGGTGTGGTACTCCCCTGGGATGACTATATTCATGTTTGTCACCAGCCAGCATGGGATATCACAAATATGGCAGAGGTTGAAATAGGTTGTAGCCAGTTTGAAGGAGTTGGAATAACTGGAGAAGGAATTGTTAATTTTGTTAATGTAGCAAGGAAAGTAAACAGAGTGAAAACTTTAGTGTCTTTGCTTCCCAGATGTGTTGCTAATTATATAGAATGTTTCATTGGAAACCATTTTGTATGTGATGAAGCAACATTTGCACCAATGGAATTTGAAAGGTGCCATTTATTTGCTTCACATAATATTTCTTGGTGTGACTTGGAAAATTGGACTAGTTACCAGTTTCAAGTAACTCTGAAAATGAGCTCTGTAAAGATGTTTACAGAGCTGATCCTGGAAGTGGATAATCATTGCAAAGACTTTATAGTTAACTTAAGAAGAGGACATGTTTTAAGCATCAGTGGAATATTGCATACAAATGTTGGAAAACGAAAGCCACATCTTTGGCTGTACTCAGCCAATTGTACTAATTGTCAAAAAGAATTGTCATGTAGCAAAATTACAAATGGGATATATGCACAATGGAACAAGTCTTTTGAGTTGTTAATGGCTTTTTTTACATTTCCCATAGTTTCTTATGTTAAGTAATTTCTCTAGATGTAGTTTTGTGAAATACAGAAAATATTTAGGTGTAAATTGTATACTAATTGTTTATAATGTATTTTGTTCCTACATAATACATTACTGTGAAAAAAAAAAGCTTTTTTTTAAGAAAATGTGTTTACATTTTTGCAGTTGCTATGTGTATTACTTACTAACTGTCAATATTGTATGTTATTGTAACAAATTTTGCAGTTTGTATTTGTTTAGTTTAGAAAGTAGTTTTAAATTTAATATTTGGAGTGCAAATTGGATACAAGTTTGGTTTATAAGTTTATAAATTTGAGTTGTCATCTTCACTAATATTTAGTGATTTATTAACTGATAGTATTATGGTTGTTTCCATCATTCTTGGTACTATTGTTTTTTAAATTAGTTTTCATTAAATATTTAATTTTATGAAACTTATTTAAGTCTTTATTGAGTTGTTATTTGACTATAATGTTTATTTTTATTGATTGGGTTTATATTTACCTCAATGAAACTATCAACCTATATATGGGAATTTATCTAATATCAGGAACCCATTAAATGATTAAAAGCCATTGCATAACTTGTGTATTTGTTAAAAAAGTGGAAAATCAAAAATATTTTAAAATAAGGCCATTTTTTAGAGATCATCAAGAAATCTATTCTAATAGTAATTATTGTCATTGAGTTGTTATTTAAAAAATATAATACAGAAATTTCAGATTTAATTAAAAAATTTTTAGGTTTTGCACAGGTGAAGTTTTAACTGTTGAGAAGGCCTGGACCAAAAGTTTTCTTTTCCGATAGTGAGATATTTGAAATAAATTGTATATGTATATACTAGTGAAAAAAATCATAATTTTCTATTAGTGTGGTAGAACCTAACAAGTGTATTAATAGTCTAAAATTTTGTAAGAGAAATTAAAAAAATATTCTTTTTATATGTATGTAACAAAAGATCAAAGTCAAAGTTAAGAATATTTTAACAGTGGACTTCTTTGAATGCTTTTATGACTTGTTAAAAGAGCTTGTACTTTTGTGGTTAATTTCTTCCTGTTATTTGGATTTTACTTATGGCCTACAAAAAGGCACTTTTACAGGCATTAAAATTGGGTATATATTTACTTAATAATATTCTAAAAAGGGGAAATTATTTTTCTTAAAATGTGTAATGTTCTTAATGGATGCTTAGTACGAATATCTTCATATCTTCAATTAGCTTTTGTAAGTTGAAGCTTTAGTCACAATTTTAGGTATTATTTTCCAAATGGTTAACAATGAAGCTTAATATGCTTAAAGCTTTTTATTTTTGTGAGTTCAATTGTATTACAAATACAAAAAAGTAAAATTTCCTAATTTCAGATGATTTACATATGAAAAAAAGTGATAGTTTCAAACTTATATTTTAACATTGAGGAATAAATTTTTCAAATGAAATATTCTTTTAAACATTGTGTAGGCCTAATGTTTTTTAGCTCTCATAATGAGTATTTTCTATTTGATGAGACTGTTTAAGTATTTGGAAATTTTAAATTTCATTGGTGTGTGTCTCGTTTTTAATAGTTTTGGACACATTCAATTTTAATTGAAGTGTTTTCTTCATTGAAGTAAGATTTTAAGCCCTATAATCTAAATAAGTAAATATATAATGATAATATCCCAAGTCTTTCTGGGCCTTATTATTTTGTTAAAAATTGTAAATTTATCTAATATGGCTTCATAAGAACTAATAAGTTAATTCAGAATGAAGTGCAATATTTCTGGAGCATTTTTTATTGAAAAATGTGGAACATATTAACCTATGTAGTTTCTTAATAGTATTTTACATGCACATTAAAACCTTCTGAGTATGTTTAAATGTTGAGATCTACACTAAGATCTACAAATAAGATGTGAAAGGATAAATTAAGGATACAGTTGTTGAATCCATTGAAAAAAGTGAATGATTGTGAATTTTAGACATGGTTATAAAATTTTTAGTGAGCAAACCACTTTAGATTTTAACATTATCTTGTGAAAGTTAAGTGTATCTTTTTTTTTCTTCAGCTACATTTACATACAATTTATACACATATGTATTAAAAACTTATTTATAGCAGTTACAGTTCTATGATAATGTAAGAAATGAACAGCCTGCAAATTATTGTGTACATGCCTTAAACTTCTATTACGTTACAATTCCTAGCATATTGCTGTGTTGTTGAGTGTACAGACTGTAACAGCTTTTACGTACAGATTTAAAATTTGTTTTAAAGTCCACTTAAGCCTTTTAAGATGATACGGTTAAGTTTCTATTTCAAGAGTGAGAATTATAATTCGTCTTCAGACAATGATAGCCCAATTTTTTTATTATTGAATTAACAGATTTCATTCATTAGTTGTTGGCAGACTCAATCTGTATACATCTATATATAAATATATCTAATAATAATATGTAGGATGTGTTTAATTTCTGCAAAAGTTTACATATCTTCTGAAGACATGTTGTACATTATTTTATTTTTAATACTGAAAACTAAAACAAGTACTATATAAAAAAGGAAGTTTGATACGAAAAAAAAACAAACATTATAAGATTTCATCATCATTAGGTGTGTTTCAACAATTCCAGTGCTAACTTCAGGATTCTAAAGTTGAGAAGGCAAAGGGGTGGTAGATAGAAAGGGGTTTTTTTTTGTTTTTAAAAGATAAGTGAAAGGAAATCCATGGCAGATAAATAAAGAAGCTCTGAGAAAGAATGGTTATTGTTGCTGTAGAATGTTTTAATTAATATTACAAACCAACATGTCTGTTTAACAAGGTTCTTTATGGGTTTGGCACATATTTTTTCACTGAGGTATCACACTGACCTTGTAAGTTAATTAATTTAATTATCATGATAAACTTGAAATCAGTGAACATTTGAAAATTTAAATATAACTCTATGGAATAGCTTATACAAGCAAAGCTAGGAAAATGCATTAATATGTTATAAAACAGTTCCATGTAATATTATAGGTATCTATTTCAGTAGTTGTCATGGCTCATAGTTCCAGTTTTCTTGCTGGATTTGTGTGTTCATGCTTCAACCTGATGAGTAACTTTAGGATTTTCTTAATTCTTACCATGATTGATTGTAAAGACAACAGATTTAATCAGAGATTGGATATTGTTTTGTTGGTGGGTTTTCCTTGGGTTGTTGAATGAGCTGTTGATTTTCTTTCTTTTGGTGCTCACTGCATTTCATATTTGTTGATAATTTCCTTATATCATGCATTATATACTTAATTTGGTGCTTTTGAATGTGGTTGTTTATTTTTTATATATTTTCTTTAACCCTATTTCTTTCAAGATGGAGATATTTTTTCTTCCACTTGTAAGCAAACATAAAATTCCTGTGTTAGTTTATATTGTGATTTATCAAATTAACTTTTTGTGATAGGTTTTTATTTTGTGTATATTGTGGGTAATGACTTCTTACTTTTTTTTTCTTGTGTACATGCATGTATGTATAGGTGGCTTATTAAATTGTGGTGTGAGTTGTTTAGTGTGTTTTGCATTCTAAGAATAAGTATAAAAAAATTGTTAAGTTCAATTACATTGTTTTAACAGTTCTCTAAAAACAACAAAAAAACAATCAATGAAACATCACTTAAAAAAACAAAAGTACTAAGTCTTTTGTTGGGCTAAATATAATCATAAACAAGCTCAAGTAAAACATAAAATTAGTCCTAAAATAAATTTGTCAAGTAACACAGAAAAAAGAAAATTCTCTTACACATCTCAGAAAAAGAGAATTCATGTGTCATTGACCATATGTGCCGGTTTAGCTGTAGCCTCACACAGATTTTAGTCTAAATGAGGCGCATGCTCAAGTTTAAATATTTCCAATTGTATATCTTTTTGTTCTGTGAGTTGTTATTTTTTTATCATTATCAGTATTTGTATTCTTAATGCTTTGTACTTTTTAAGAAATTCTAATGTGTTATGAAACAGTTGATTGCATGCTTTGTGTTTATTTCTTAAAATTTGGAGTATTGGTTTCTTTGAAATGTGTGTGAAATGTTTTCTTTTGTTTGTGCCTGTGCTCCAGTCTTATAATTCATAAAGTTTATCAGGTAACTGACTGTTGTAGTTTCCCAAGCACACCTGGCTGACATTATTTATGACAGAAATAATATGATTTAAACAAATATATTTGTAATGTGTAAAAAGGTCAAATGTTACCAAAAGAAATGAAAAGTAAACACATTTTTGTTTTACGTTGAAAAAGAAACAACACTTTATTTCAGCTAAAATAACAAAGGTGGGAAAGTGATATATTGTCTGTATCAGCTCTTCCTCTAGTCAGTATTTACAATGTAGAATTAATTTTAGACTAAAATTTCTTGATATTTTGCACCTCAAGGCCCACATATGCAGCTGATGACATATTAATGTAGAGCAGTCAAATTGTCCCTGCTCAAGGAAGTTCATAACCAGTGGTTAAACTTGGAACTCCCACTTTGACATTCCATTCATAAGACTAGGAACTCAAATTTAACTCCTGATCATACTTGTACATCTCATGGTGCACCAGTTGATAATCAATGTTCTAAGCTATCACAAAGGCTATTCTGAGCAACAACACTATGAGGGAAGACATTCATGTTCCTATAACTGATCTGCTGAGTGTAACATGCTTAATATGATTAGCACAAGTGAATGCTTATAGTATATTAGATTATTTTATGATGTGTAAATATAGCTATATACTCGGGAATTTTGTAATGAATCTGATTAAAGATATTTTCCAAGTTAGAGATATAGCCATAACATTGTATAATTGTATGTTTTTAACACTTGCCTAAGCTTTAGTAGCATACTGTGATGATTAGTGTATGTGATCCCTTTGGTAACAGTTTAAATTAAAATGTGTTTTATATAATACTTTCTGTGTATCTGGCATCTTTGGTATAACTTGGTGAAATTGTTTTTCAGCTATTTTCTCTTGCACTTTTACTTTTCTATCTGAATTTATCACAAAATATGATGTTTATTTTTAACTTCAAGACGTATGAAATACAGCTG